TTTCTTTTCTTTTCTTTTCTTTTCTTTTCTTTTCTTTTCTTTTCTTTTCTTTTCTTTCCTCTTTTGTGTGTGTGTGTCTTTTGAGACAGGGTATCTCTATGTGTCCTGGACACATAGCCCTGGCTTGCCTCAAACTTACAGAGATCCATCTGCCTTGACTTCTGAGCGCTGAGATCAAAGCTGTGGCCTGCTTTTTAATCTTATTTTTAAAAGTCTTTATTTTTTGAGATTCTATATAATATAACTAAATCGCTTCTCCTTCTCTTTCCTCCCACCAGCCCTCCCATAAGACCATACACCTCCTTGCTCTCTTTCAAACCCATGATCTCTTTTTAAATTATTACATACATATGTAAAAATCCATACATATATCCCTAAATACATAAATGTGACCTGCTCAGTCTGTATAATGCCACTTATTGGACGAGACAATGTCTCCTCTTCTCAGTATTCCCTAGTTATCTAGTTTTTTGGGTAGGGCCAGGGCCCTGTGGGCTGCCCAGGAACTCTTTGAGGTTAAGATGTTATCAGTGAAGAGTAAGGTACAATGCCATATCTCATTTTATCTCTCTTCTGATATACTGTAAACTTCCCAAGATCAAGATCTGTCTTTCCTTGGTAAGAGAAGTAAAGGATGTTTTCATTGCTTAGTAATAGTAGAAGGCATCTCTGGGTGTCACCTTTGTCCCCCCCCCCCCCACCCAGCAGACTTCCTTCCCCATGGCAGACTTAAGTTTAGTAAATAAGGCAAAATATATATGTATATATGTTTTAAAACTGTTCTACATTTACCAAGCAAAATGCACTGGCTTGAAAAACCTAAATTCTTCATGTACAATTTTTATGCGTTTAAATCTATACTTACTTTTTTTTCTTTGAAGTAAAAGCTGTTTCTATTCATCATTTGCAAAAGAGAAAACCAACTTGAGGAAGTACAGCCTCTTTCCCATTGCCCTGGCAGAATAGACAAAACCTGAGATACTGCAGTGTCTCCAGAAGAGAGCTGTGGGATCCCAAAGGTGGCCAGCCTCAAAATATTTCCCTCCACCCCCCTCAGTTTTCTTCTCTGTTTAAAACTGAACTTATCTAGAAAGTCAGAAACTAGGCTGAGAAACACTAGGTGGCCATGCACAAGTCTGGTTAGATATTTGAAGAAAAAAAACAGGTTGATTTTCTGGAGAAACATTTTGAGAAAAGCACAAAACACCATGGCAGAATGCTAGCTGGAATGTGTTGATCTCAACCATGGGAGCAGAGCACATGGCTACTTCTAAATTAATCATTGGGATTTTAAGTTGGAGAGATTTTACATGAATACTGAATTTCTGGCTTTTGAGGGTGGACCATGGTGGAGATATCAACGATTAGTATTCTGTTCTGTATTCTGGTAAGGCCTCGATTGTCTGGAGTCGAGTGAGGCAAGCATCTTTAACCAATGACTCACTGTGTCCTGGGCCCTCTAGCCTGTCTCACCTGCTCAGTTTTGCTTCTTATCCTTGTCTACCCACTGCCACCAGCCAAAGATTCTATAGTTCGTGATCCACAGGTTCCCATCTTGGTGCATTTTGTAACAACCTTAATCCTCTTACATTTTGTTTGTTGATCTGTTTGCAGTAGACTGCCTTCTAGTTATAACTAAAGTATAGGGATGCTGAGGGAACCTGATAAGAGAGGAAACTTAGATTCCTGTGTTACAGCAGCTATGGATTATCCCCTGCAAGTCCCAGGTTTCAGAAAGGAGGACCCTTTGTTACATTTTCCTTCTGAGGGGCATTGTGGGGAATGTCAGAGTGAAATAGTGATAAAGCTGATTTTTCTGGTGAATTCCTTTTCTTTAGAGTAAGTTAATTTAGGATTTTCTAGTCTAATAAGAAATCTGAGGCATTTGATAAAAATTCATATTCTTAGGGTTTTGGAACCTCAGTAGCCCTCATAAAGAGGCTAGATGTCCTTTGATAATTCATGTCTGGCAATTCCAAAACACCCAATTTCATGCCTAGGTTTTTGCGCCTTTTGGTTATGGCCTAGCCACAAGCCTTTAGTTTCTTGTGAAAATGTTGGTGCATATTGGGCTCTTGGTGAATTTAGTGAACCCAGTTCATCGAATTCATCACCAGGAGCACAGATAATTCACATAACTTAGAGGTCGGTAGTTTTTTATGTTATTCTTGTGTTTCTCAAGAAAATTTGTATTTATTAGATTCTCAGCTTCTCAGCCCATAATATTTGTCACTATGTTTGTTTTAATAATAAATGAAACCTAAATTTGAGCAAACTAATTTTCAAGGCCACACAGTAAATTAAAAGAACAGTATATGCAATTGAAGACTTTTTGTAAAGTTGTACAACAGTCTGTTGGGTTGCTGTCTGCTTACCATTCCCTTATTTCTGGTATGATTAACATCAGTATGTGAAAGAGCCTGACAGTGATGGTCCTTGGACAGGCAGTGGAATAATCTCATAAATACTAGAGACTAAACCTCCAAGGATCAGTTCCGTGGTCCACTTGTTATGTCCCTCTCAGGTTTATTCCAAGAATGTGAGTTGCTGCCCATTCCCCCCACCCCAGGACTATTGTTCTATTGTCTTAGCTGGCAGGTGAATGCTGAGACTGGACTTTGTAGCCTCATTGCCTGTGTTAACTCCCGCTACCAGCACTGGGCTGCGTTCCCTTGCCTGTAAAATACAGGTGCCACCTGTCTCACGGGTTGCCATACTTAAAGTTTAATGTATGGGAAGTATCTAGAAAAAGCCTTAACCCTAGGTTACTCAGGTTACTTCCTGTTGTATCTAATCAGTTGTTGACAGACCCCGTCCTTTTTTTTTTTTTTGCCGATTTTTGTCATTTTTATTGATTCTTAGCATTAACACCTGCCTTTCTTCTTGCAGCTTATTGCCCAGTCCATCTTCATGCTTTATTGTATGTATTTTATTACTTGCTTCTTTCCCTAATACCCCACTTGATATTTACAGTGTGATAAACTCTGAACACCTGCGTGTAGCATTGACCATCCTTAATCTGACAGAACCACTCCTGCTTTGGTCAGCACCTTGTCCCTTTGATCTAAACTTGCTTATTTCTGCCTTCTCTTCCTTTTCGGCTTTTCTGGTCCTTCAGATATCAACGTTTCATAAGTCCTGTGATTTCCTAATATTTCAGAATTTTATAGGATACTTAAAATACTTATTTTAATCCTTTGTTTGCTATTTTCTTTCTTCACATTTCTGTGGGCATTATTGTTCAGCTTTTCTCAAAGCCTACATTTCAGGGCCATAGCACTACAGGTTATTTCTTGTTAGTGTAGCAGTTCAGTGTGAGTGCCTGACCATGCACTTGTTCTGGGATTTCATCTTCTTCCATCCCACAGTTCTATTCATGAAGAGCTTGATCGGCTGGCTAGTGAGGGCAGAAAGGGGTGCAGATTGAATTTCTCTCATCCAAAATGCTTGTGACCAGAATTGTCTCAGACTTGGAGTTTTATTTGTATGTACCTAATATTTAAGGAGTTTAAAAGTTAAGTGCTTTTGGGTTGGTGTCAGGCTGACTTAATTTGAATTCTGTTCCACAGATTATGAACCAGATGATTGAAGGGTGTTAGTTACCATGTTCTTCAAAGAGGATGTAAATCATATCTATTTTTACTAGTCTGAGGTATGAAGAAATCTATAACACCTGGCATGAACTGAGCTCTCAGTACACTATGACTAGCTCCAATAAGCATTGTTATTTTTTTTTTAAATGGCTATTGTTTAAAGGGTTTAAATAAACTAATTTAGTGGCCTGTGGTTGAAGTGAATTAGAGGCTAAGATTCAGGACACCTGTGATAGAATCCTGTATTAACCAGTGTGTCCCTTGAGCAAGTCAGGAACTGTCTTTTGTCATCTTTCCATTTCTGTTTGCCATGGGTTATGAATTACAGACTTGTCATTATGAAGATATATGTGCCAGCACTCGTTAATTGTAAACTTAATCTTACCTGGTTATTTTTGTTTAATTTGTCTAATACTAAAAAGGATGATTTGGAAAAAAGTGCAATTCTAAACATTCCTTCGTTTTCTTGTCAGAATTCATACTGAAAAATGCAGAAGTGGGATTGGAAATGTTTTTGGAGTAAGATTTTCTTTTTGTCTTGCAGGCATTTTGTTCCCAACATCACTTTTGGTCACCCTGTGGTTGAAAGCCTCCGAAAGCAGCTAGGCCAGGATCCTTTCTTTGGTAAGTGGGTTGTTATACCGTTTAAAACTGCTTCTATTGCTTAAATAAAGGAGAGGGGTTGGTTGGTCAAGTTCATCTTGCACACTTTTCCTAATTTCTCCTGTGCTGCTGCTAAGATCATCGGCTTGAACTTAGCAGTCTAACACCTTCCCTTCCTCAGGCCTTGATGCTGATGCAACCTGAAAAAACTCTTATAGGAGGGTCTCCTGTCAGCCCTAGGGTTGGTTGTCATCTCCTCAGAGGGGCCTTTCTAAACCAAGTCCAAGTTAATGTTTCTCTACTGTTCGGTGAGACAGATTAACTTTTACCCACTGTGCAGTCTGATTGTATACCTTACTTTAGTTTATCAGACTGTAAGATCAAAAGGTATAGCTAGAACTCATCTTGTGATTTTTATTTCATTGTAATTCATTTGTTTGGATGTTTTGCCTGAATGTATGTGTGCAGTGCCCTTAGGCAAGAGGATGGCATTGGATTCCCTGGTATTGGAATTACAGAAGGTTATGAGCCACCATGTGGGTGCAAGGACCTGAGCCAGGGTCCTGGAAGAGCAGACTGTCCTATTAAGTGCTGAGTCACCTCTACATCCCCAACCCTTGCTTTTCTTAAGGCTAAACACACAAAATTACACTTAGTGTAACTACCAGTTGAATTTATGATTCAACTAAGTGGTCCAACAGCTGATTTACTTCTTTCAAATGTAGGCTTTCTGCAGATATGGTTCCTTTCAGTGTCATAGGGTAGGAAGTCTGAAGGTTTTTGCCCTTGTCGGTTTGTGGTTTCTTTTTAGATCACTCTATCCTAAAACTTTTTGTACTGAAATAGATCCAAATTCATAATGTTTTCTGTAAATTGTATAATTAAGTAAATCTTAAGTTTTTTGCCAGTGGAGCAATTCTATGAAGGACTCTAGCTGTACTGTTCAGTGTGGTAGCTGTAAAACCCATATTTGGCTACTTCAATTAAAATAAAAATTTAGTTTCTAACTTACAATAGTCACATTACAAGTCCTTGGTAGCCACATGTGTCCTTTGACTATTATCAGCAGTGCAAACACAGGACCATCATGAGTGCAGGCTCTAGCAAGTGTGTCTATCCTGAGTGCAGGCTCTAGCAAGTGTGTCCATGTGAGTTCAGGCTCTAGCAAGTGTGTCTATCCTGAGTGCAGGCTCTAGCAAGTGTGTCCATGTGAGTGCAGGCTCTAGCAAGTGCATCCAACCTTTTGACATGCAACATGCTATTGTCATCTACAAAATTCACATCTGAGAATCACACAGTTGAGATATAAAAACTAAACAACCAAAAATCGCATAAAGTACATCTACAATTTTGCCTTGGTCTTATTTGTAGCCATCCTTCACCTTATTCAGGTTGAAAAGATTCATCTATTTTGAGAAAACCAAAGAGAATGTAAATCGTTCCCTTATGTTTGCCAACATGTTCATAGTTTTAAATTTTATATAGTTGAATATAATCTTGTGTTAAACATTATTGTTTTGGAAAGGAGTTTTCAAAGTAAGAGTCTTCTTGACTTTGCTAGTGTTGTATGCCGTGACTTTAAAATTACATGTGTTGCACTATGAGAAATGATTAAATAAATCATTAATCTGTTCCCACATCCCACTGCTGTCTTTCTCATGTGCTTCTTATTAGTCTTTCCTTTTATAGTATGACTCAGTCTCACTTCTCAGTATTGTTTTATCTTTTATCAGCAGTCTTTCCTGATTCAATACCACCCCCATAAACGATCCACTTTTTCTTCCTGGATTTAGGTGGGTATGTATGATGTTTGTGTATATAATTTTGCTAATTAATATTTCAGGAAAATTTTCCAAAGTAAAGATGAATATACTGTGTTAATAATAATATGGAGTTTGAGCCCTTTGTTTTTTTATAACTAAGCAGTTTGATTTGGTTATTTAGATAGTTGACACATTGCTGCATTTTAACAAATATACCAGGGCTACAGATGCAGTTTCACCATTAAGAACCTGTCCTGCTCTTACAGAGGACCAGGGTTTGGTTCCCAGCACCCACATCCGATGGCTCACAACCACTGTAACTCCCTCTTCTAGCCTCTGTAAGCATCTGTACTTGTGTGCACATACCCACACAGACATTCATGTATACACAAATAGTTCATAAGTTGTATGTACAACCCTATAAGGTTCTAGGATTTTGTTGATGTAACTGGAGATCAACTGAGGCCTTGCACATCCCAATTCCAACCATAGCCTTTTACTATTTTTAAAATGTGTGTGTGTGTGTGTGTGTGTGTGTGTGTGTGTGTGTGTAGTGGGAGTTGTGAATGTGCATATGCTCATGTGTGCACCTGTGTGCATGCATGCAGGTATACATGCAACACAGTGTGCTTATAGAGGGGGAGGTCAGGACAGCTTTTGGAAGTCATCTCCTGCCTTCCACTCTTTTGAAGCAGGGTCTGTCTTACTGCATACTCCACCTGGTTGGCCTGAGAGCTTCCTTGATATTCTCTTCTCTCTAAATGGGACGACACTGCTGTATCCATTTTTCATCTGAGTTCCAGGGATCCAATTCAGGTTGGCAGGGTTGCATGGCTAGCACTTTTACAGCCATCTCCCTAGCTGTACTTTTAGTTTTGAGGCAGGGTCTCCCTAAGTTCCTCTTGTTGACTTAGAACTTACTCTGTATCCAGGCTTCCCTTAAACTTGGAGTTCTCCTGCCTTAGCCTCTGGAGATACTTTTGTTAACAACTCCTTTGAAACTCCTTTTGAAAGCATCCTTTGAAAGCTCTAACTATTTATTCAGTGTTAGTTTTGAGTACAAAAGACATCTAAGAAGTAAAGTAACAAGAAAAAGTCTTTATTACCTAAGGCAGTGGTTTGTATTGAGTGTTTGTGTTGAGGGCCATGAAAGTCCTCTCTATCCCATTTATGAGGTCAAAGGCATTTTCATAATACTAAGACATTATCTGTCACTGTCTATACTGGCTCTGCAAATCAGTGATTAGTTAGTTTTTTGGTGTCGTAACCAAGTCAGTGATGCAGTGACATTGAATTCCTCTGGTAGAGACTGTGCTTCATTGCTGTATGTATGCTGCTCTGTGTTTACAGTACATATCATTGGGGAAGCTGTTTAGAGTAAGTATAAGTTCGTCTTTGAGTAATGTCTCATTGATTATGGGACTAAGTAGGAAGAATGAAGTACTTCCACAGTACTTGTGGTGATGCATTCCTCTGACCAGACAGCTTGCACTATGGCTTGAGCTCAACTAGCTCCCATTTCCAAACACCAGTTTTCTCTTGTAAAAGACAAAAACGACAGCTAAGTTGTTCATTTTAGAAAATGACTTACAGATTTTGTTTTTAACTAACAAAAGTCATCTTGTCACTTCCAAATTTTCTTGTGCTTGTTGCCAAAGAGCTTGTAAATAGTGTTAGAAACCTTCTGTATTCTGTGTCCAGCCACACCTAGACATGCCCCTTACCTATCATAGGGCTGAGTAATGATGCCTGCATTGTATGTTGAAAACATTGTAAGTCAAAGGTGGAATTAATATGACTAACCTCGAAAACATCATACTTGAACTTTGTCTATGTCAAATGTGCCAAGAGTAGTTAGCCTACAATTTTAAAAACTAATCTGTGTTATTATCAAGAGTTGACTACCAGTTGTGCTTTATCACCTGTGTTGAGAAGATACCTCTCTTATACTGTACAATACCCAAAGAACAGGGTGCTTGTGGGCTTGTTTGTTTGTTTGTTTGTTTGTTTTTGAAGGGTGGGCAGGATTTCATATACCTCAGGCTGGCCTTGGACTCTTGATCCTCCTAACTCTACCTCCTGAATGCTATAGGGCCATGTCCAAGACCATGCCTGATACAAAGCAAGGTTTTTTTAAACTTTCTCTAGCCTTGACTTCTTTCCTGACAAACTTTTACACAGCGCGGGGTATACAGATACATAAAATAAGCATATAAACCACACATTTACTAGTTATAAATCATAAAAGTAATTGATATCAAAACAACTTTTTGGTTTACCATTTATTAAAGATCAATGTAAATTAGCAAACTAACAAGATGATGTACTTATTTTTAAATAAGGAATATCTTGGCTGAATATTTGCAACTGCAGGAAATGGCATCATTTTCTTACACATCTGTGTTAATGCCTAACATAATTAAACACAGTCATTATTAGTAAGCAACGGCTTGTGATAAAATAGAACAGGACAGTGTACTGTAATGTGTGAATGTATTCTTTGTCAATTTTTCTCACTGCATTATTGCAAGGATTACAGTATTGTATTATTACTTAAAGGAAGCATCAGGACTTGACCCAAAGATAAAAGTATTTGTTATGTAAGCTTAACAGCCTGAGTTGTGTTCCTTTTCCCATCCCAGCTTCCATCAGTTGTCCTCTGATCCCCACATGCATACCATGGCATGTACACATCTGTACTTACATGCATCATGCATACACACATACACACACACACACACACACACACACACACAAAATACTACTACTTTTTTAGAAATAGGGTAACTTGATCATGAGCACTGTGATACCAGGACATTGGATGTAATCTCTTCAGCCAGCTACCAAGTGCAGAACCAGCAGTAGTATATAATGTCTGTAATATATAGTGTCTGTAGTTCATAGATAGTGTCCGTGCACGAGTCAGAGGGGTGACTCAAAGAGCAAGCTGGTGTGGGGTGCACAATATAAAACTTACCATGTATTTATTTCTGGAACTTTTTGTTTAATTCTTGTAAAAATAACTTATTTATGTTATATGTGTGGGTGTTTTGCCTGCAGGTATATCTGTGAACCACTTGCATGCTTGGGGCCAGCAGAGGGTATAAGTGGGTCTCAGATCCTTTGAGACTGGAATTACAGACAGTTTTAAGCTGCCATATAGGTGCTGGGAATGGAACCCCAGTATTCTAGGAGAGCACCCGGGCTCTTAACTCCTGAGCTATCTCTCCAGCCTGTTTAATATTTTAAACCACACTTGACACCAGAAAACCTCCAAAATGAAGCTGTGCAAAGTAAACTGTCAGAAGCTCTCCAGTAAGCTCTCTCTACTAGTCGGTGTGCTGATTAGTACTATGAAATGTCTTAACTCGCATATCTAACACACACTACACCTGTACTGTGGATAGCTAGCCAGTATCAACTAGAGAGCACTAGACCTTGTTCTAGGAACATGAAGCTTTTATCTAGTAATATGTTTTTGTTAGTTTAGAAATATATGCTGCTGGTGTTATTATCTAGCTCTTTCCCAAAGTTTTTGAATTTTTTAATATTAGTTTCATTCTAAAGTATTAGAATTTTTATTTTTAAAATATATCTTAGCAATGCCAAAAATGTACTTCCTCTGACCCACCTCCACCCCCCCAAAAAAAGAAATGAAGTTCATGAAGAAGGAAGACCAAGTGTGGGTGCTTCGGTCCTTCTTAGAAGGAGTAACAAAATACTCATAAGAGCAAATATGGAGACAAAGTGTGGGACAGAAACTGAAGGAGGGGCCATCTGGAGACCATTCCACCTGAGTATCCATCCCTTGTGCAGTCACCAAAGGTAGACGCTGATGTGGATGTCAGGAAGTGCATGCTGACAAGAGCCTGATATAACTGTCTCCTTAGAAGTCTGCCAGTGCCTGACATATTCAGAGGCAGATGCTCACAGCTAACCATTGAACTAATCATGAGATTCCCAATGGAGGAGTTAGAGCTGAAAGAGTTTTTGGCCCCATGAGGAGAGCAACAATACCAACCAACCAGAGCTCCCAGGGTCTAAACCACCAGCCTAGGAGCACTTAGGGAGGGACCCATGGCTCCAGCTGTATATGTAGGGGAGGATGGCCTTGTTGGGCATAGGTGGGAGAGGAGATTCTTGATCCCATGAAGGCTGGATGCCAAGTGTGGAGGAATTCGAGGGTGGGGAGGTGGAAGTGGAAGAGTGGTGAGTGCATTTCCTCATGGAAGCAGGAGGGGGGGATGGACTAGGGGGTTCCTGGGTGTGGGGGGGGATGGGGTAAGGGAATGACATCTGAAATGTAAATAAAATATCCAATAAGAAATGCTTCTGTGGGGAAAAAATATATCTTAGCAATGCCAAAAAATGTACTTCCTCTGACCCCCCCAACTCCCCTAAAAAGTCCAAAATACTCATTACTCTCCACAATGCCCTGTACAGAATTTGTCACAGGGTAGTTTTTATGGTTTTGACTCTTTGAAATGACCATTTCCTCATGAAACACATTCTGTTTTTTGTAAATGTGACTTTTATTTCCTCAGATGAGGTGATAAGAGCCAAGTCATACTGAGCCCAGAGTGTTTCCTTCTCTGTTTTAACTATCTCTAGGCCTAGCTTGTAAGCTTCTAACCTGTATATAATCTAATCTTCCAAGCTGACTGAATCAGTCTGGCTTCTCTCTGCTTCTGACTGAATTGCTCTGTCTGCCATCATACTCATTTTGGCAATATGTTCTAATCTTCTGGCTCTGTCTCATTCTTTGGCTAATTCTGCCTTCTCTTGTGTCTAGCTTTTTCTCTCTATACCATCTCTCTAAACTGTCCAGGTAAAACTGCCATACATACATACCACCCACCAAACCATCAATTTTTCCTCTCTTGCTGCTCTTAAGCAGCCTTTCTTTGTCTACTGTTCTCATGTGTGTTGGGTGTATCCTATCTCTGACTTATTCTAGTAAATGTTTCTCTGATTTGTCACTTTGTCTGCTCCTCAATTAGATGTTCCTTTTCAACATGGCTGCTTTCTTCAACTAAAACTTATCTTCATTGTTAAGTAAGCTGTGTACTTAAGAGTATGTCTGTATTTCTGCCAGATCATACTGTAATCCAGAGTGTGTCTGCAATCTGGTGGGATCATATCTTTGGATGTGATCCCTTGCCAGAGCAGCCATGTTGCTGGATTAAAATTCCTCTACAGGTTTTAGAAACTTTAAGAAGACTATGCTGTGTTTAAGTATCAAGCTTTAGGCTGCCAGCCTCCCCCCAACCCCACCTCACCCCGCTCCCCAGCTTGCTTTCTCTCTGTCATTCAGTGAACTCAGCTCTCTTCTTGCTCAGGCCAAATCTTTGGCAGCATCTACATTTTCTTTTCACCTTTTCTTTTACATTTTTTTTCACGTTCTATGCCTCCAGAACGTGACTTTCACCTGGGTTCCTGTCACAAGGTCTCTGTGGTTGGACCTTGTCACTTCACTGAAATCTTTGCTTTCCCCATCTTATCAGGAATAATTCCCAGCAGCCTGAAGAGCTCCATTGTCCTCCCTACCTGCCTGTTTCCTTGACATCATATCCTAGTATGGTCCAGTCTCAGTTGTGCTGGTACTAGCTGTTCAACCTAACTCATATTTTATCTTCTTTTGCATACTGTCTCACTAAGAATGACACCCAAAGGCAGTAGAGAAACAGCTCGATTTCTAGGACCTATAGCATCCATACATGGTGCTGTAACATTTCAATAAAGGTCACCTGAAAGAGCATATGGAAAGTATCACATGTAGCTGTCTGGAAGAGAACAAGGCTATTTAGGTAGTATAACTTTCCTTAAACATTCAAAAGTAGCATTTCCTGGACTTAGATCTCAGTTTTCTGATTTAATTTCTTTTCACATATAGCAGATATGCTCTTTGTGGAAAAACTATTTTATAAGTGAATATAAGCAGACTGTATCTTTAGGATAAAAACTATACCAAAGTATAACTGATCACTTTTGTAGTGCCAGAATAATTTATATACATAATGACAAAATAAACAGACCTATAGGCTGACTTCATCCTGTGAGCTGGGTATATTCCTCTCAGTAATATATAGGAGACGTCTTTTCTTCCTAGATATGCACATGATGGTGTCTAGGCCAGAACAGTGGGTAAAACCAATGGCTGTGGCAGGTGCCAATCAATATACCTTTCATCTTGAGGCAACTGAGAACCCAGGGGCTTTGATTAAAGACATCCGAGAGAATGGGATGAAGGTAAGTCAATGATAGGAGTCTTATTTTATCCTAGTTCCTGTCAGAGCTGGTAATGGTAAGATGGGTGGGAGAAAAAAAATGATAGAGAAAGGGCTGGACATGGGCAGCTGGTGTTTAAGAAAGAAAGGCAGAAAATATAAAGTTGGGTGGGTAGGGAGAATCTGGAAGGAGTTGAGGACATGATCAAATATATTGTAAGAATAATTTTTAATAACAAAAAATAAGGTAGCAAAAATAAGTTAAACAAAAACAAAAAACCCGTTATACTCTGGATAATTTTCATATTGTTTTATAAGATGATTTTTTTTTAAACTAGGCCACTATAATACAATAGGAAAATAATGTGATTTAGCATTTGTTTGTTACAGGTTGGCCTTGCTATCAAACCAGGAACTACAGTTGAATATTTGGCCCCATGGGCTAATCAAATAGATATGGCCTTGGTAATGACCGTAGAACCCGGGTTTGGAGGGCAGAAATTCATGGAAGATATGATGCCCAAGGTAAAAGAAATATTCTATTCTGGGATGAGGTTTTTGCTATAGGTGTCTATAGACACCTATAACTGCAATATATGTCATTGAGATATGTTCTGTTTTGGAAGTGAGGGAACAGAGATGCCTTCAGATACTGTAATACAGCATGATAGGTTTTAAAATATAAGTTAGTATTTTAACCATATTGCAAAAGTTTTAAGCTTATTTCTGTGACCTTGGGTTACTTGAGAGTTTTCATTGCAGTCTTTGTAAAGCTTTCACAAACTGAATGTTATTTGCTAAACCACTTTTACAAACATAATATGATCAGTCTGTTGAAGTGATTCCCCAGTAATGTTTGTATGCAATGTGGGCAGGGTTAGCCATTTTGCTAGTGTTAGCTCTGGTGTTTTGTGTGCTTGCTTTCCCCTGCATGTCTACTGTAGGAGTCATTGTTTCTTTGTGTATGTCTAGGTTCACTGGTTGAGGACCCAGTTCCCAACTTTGGATATAGAGGTCGATGGTGGAGTGGGTCCTGACACTGTTCAGAAGTGTGCGGAGGTGAGACTATTCAACTGTGACTAGGGAAGTTCTCATAGCTGATACCTCCAGGACAGTCTTAGCATCAGAAGATTGCTCAAAGTGATTTTTTCTTGGGAAAATATTTTTTGTTCAAATGTAGGATTAGTAAGTAAAGAACAAGTGAGTTCCTAAGATAAATTGTTAAATAGTGGTCTCCGGAAGGAGTACATTGTCCTTAGCAAAACCTCTAAGTTCTTTTAAAAGATAACTTCTCAACTGAAGAAAAATAGAGTAATTTAACTGGCCTAATCATGCTGTCTTAGAATTTAAAAGTATTAGCCACCTGTTTGTGTTTGATAAGAAGTGACTAGATCTAGTTCTGTTGAAAATCAAGGCCTCGTTCCCATTTACCATGCTTAGTGTGTTTTTCCTAGGGAGCTGCCCTAGCTTAGTTCTGCTCCTGGCTGTCATTAGATGGCAGCTCCTGAGAACTGCAAGTGACCAGAAGTCAAATGGCTCATTTTTATTCAGATTCTTCTATAATGGCCATACTTTTCTGCCTGATACAAACAATGAAAAGCTTGGAAGTTAATAAGAAAGTGGAAGTTAATAAGAAAGTAGAGAAATGAGGGACAGGAGAAATTTGAGTTTTAAGTTCAAGGCCAGCTTAGGCTACATAGCAAGACCTTAATGTTTAAAAAAAAAAAAAAAAAGGCTTGTCAGTGATGAGTATTTTGAAAGGAGCTAGACAGCTGATTACTAAGCACATCTTCCTTTAGATGCTATTAAGGTTGTTTTGATTTGTTTTTTGTTTTTGTTTGTTTATTTGTTTGTTTTTAAACTTTTCTGTTGTGCTGTTCCTGCTCAAATTAAGACATGTTAATCAATAGTCCTATAAATTCTAATTCCTGGAAAGAGTGTTTTTGATGGTACACTGTGCTATCAGGTGACTGGGTCTTGTTGGAGAATTTTTCCTTAGCTTGTTAGTTTTACAGCTTCCAACAGAGACTGCCACAACATATTGGGTTTCCCTCAGCTCAAATCCCAGGCCCTAAATTTGGAGTTATCTCTTTTGAGGTTTTTAGGATATGTATAACACTGCACCCCTCCCATTTCTTTGCTTCTACATTTAAAAATGTCATCCAGCACTCTAAGCCATAGTAGAACCTTAGAATGCATTGAGATTTATTTTTACATTCTTTCTGACACAAAATGTGAAGGCACTGATGTTCCTGGTGTTTTTTGGATAGCTTCTGCTTTTCACATTGTGTCCTTTCAGACTTTCTAGAAACAGATACAATGTTTCCTTAGTTGCATGAGGCCATTGAGATGCATAGGAAAGACCTGAATGGAATTGAGGTCCCAGAGTTTAAAGCTTTGCCTAAGTAGTTGCAGAGGTACTAAGTGCAGCTTAGGGCTAGTTAACACAACAGTCCAGTGACTTGGTAGACTTATTTAAAAAAATGATAGTATGGCCTCATTTATAAGCATTTCCCCTCTTAACTCAGTGAATTAAGAATGCTACAGTCAGCTTCTGGGGAAATGGCAACAAAGCACGGGTGGAAATGCTAGTCCAGGGTTTAGGTTTCGGTTTCTTCCTGCTAACACATAGCTGTGTACTTCTTTCAGGCAGGCGCTAACATGATTGTGTCTGGCAGTGCCATTATGAGGAGTGATGACCCCAGAGCTGTTATCAACTTACTAAGAAATGTTTGCTCAGAAGCCGCTCAGAAACGTTCTCTTGATCGATGAAGCCACAAGGAACCCAGTCTCTGCTCATGAAACATTTTTTACTGGAAAAGAGGAATATTGACTACCAAATCACATTGCAATCGAAGCAGTGCTGCATTCCAGTGATTAAAGTCAATTGTGCAGGATATTCAAGAGGTTAGAAATAACTACCTTTTTAGAGATGCCATTTAGAAATTAGTGTGATGAAAAATATTCATGTTTATACTAGGAGAATGATTTTTGTAAAGAGTGAAAATATGATTTGTTAAGATTACAGACAGAAATATGTCTTAATGGCTAAAGAGGAAAATTAGCTACTATGAAAAACACTTTTCTGTATTTTTACAAAGAATGTTCTGTTGATTCCCTGATTTATCCCTAAAGCAAATGACATCCATATTTTCTCTAGTTCATGTCATTTGTGATTTGTTTATATGCCTGAGAATATGAATGGAATGAGACTAAAATTAGAAGCTTTGGAGGGGTGGCATGTCATGGTCTGGCATTTGAATTATTTTTACTTTTTATCTTATACTTGGTTTATTAAAAACTATAAAAATAATGTATGAAGCCTAGGGTTTCTGAAATGCAAGCACAGACTTACCAAGGTATTTTCTTTGTCACAGCAGGCTACTCTGTAATCCCTTTCTGCCCCTGGTTCTCACTCAGCCACCATTCTTAAGGTCATCAAATAGAACTGTTGTGTTAGCCAGGAGCAGAAAGGAACCATACAGTGTCTCTTGGAAGTGCCACTGGGTTGGATACCAATAGAACAGAATATCCTATTCTAGCTCTTTAATAAAATCACCCAACTTGTTTTCACTGTAAACTCTTATGTATATTAAATGGAACCATAACTATTGTGCATTTGAGAATTAAGAGCATAACATGGTTTTGAAAGGCCTATAGTTCTACTCCTAGACCGTAGAGGATGCTCAACACAAAATGGCAAGCATCATGTCTGTTCTGTGAGTTATTAAGCACTTTGGTATAATCATATTAACTGCTAATTAATTGTCCTATCATTGTTAGAACAGGTATTTTTTTCCTATTTTAAGGCTAAAAAAAAGTAAAGCTCTCCAGTAGCCTGGTACATAGAAAGGGTCTCGTCATAAGCAGTTTTCTGGTGTGTACTACAACTCTGACTACAAACAGAGCTCCTGAGGTGGATTAGAAAAAAGAAAGTTTGTACTTCTTTTATTTTCAGTGTAACTGTATCCTCTAGCAAAACAGAGTAAGTCAAGAATACTCTGAAAGTATAGATTTTGACCCCAAGGAGAGATGGATATATATAAAATTTCTAAGAAAGTAGAAGTAGGCTAAGAGATGATAGAATACAGACTTAATCCATAAATAAGTAGTAATAAAATAAATAAGAACACTGACAAATAGGCATGGAATAGAGAGCTTGCCCGGGCTTTTTCCTGCCCTGTAAGATAAAAGTTTATTAATACTTGTTTTTATTTTAGCTTACGAAAGGTTTGTGCGTTTAATCAAATCACACAATACAAGGCATATAGAAATAACTTTAATTAAAAAAAACTATGTAGAAGGTTATAATATCAGTCATGACAAAGATTTGAAATTATTTGCTGGGACAACTTGTATTTTTCTGGCTTTTGTTATCTTTTTCTTTAAAAATAAATGTACAGTAAAACTATAAGCAAAAGTTTGTAAGTATTGAATTTAAATGGTTCCCCCCCCCCTTCTGCCGGGATCAGTTTAATTTCTAATCCTCAACGAAACCTTAAGTGTCTAATCCCATAGAGTCCAAGCTCAGTGGCCAGGATTTTCAGTAGTATGGGAACTACAAATCGAATAACCTTTCTTTGCATAACAAAAAGTGGCTGATACAAATTGTCCTTAACTTTCATCTAGGAAAAACAGTGGTATGGCTTCAAAAAGAATTTTCCTTAATGTACACTCCTCACTATTCTATATTAAAGTCTTGGTCTTGGAAAACTTGAATTCTTGATCTAAGATGCCTGTATTTGTGTAAGCTATGGTAAGGAAAAACCAAATTAGAAGTTTCTAGCTGTACATTAGCTAGAATTACAACCATATTATGATTTGTATGCTGTTTTACATTTTAAATTGCTGTCTTGAAGAGGTACATAAAGCAAGTAAAACTCAGAGTGAATTTCCAACGACAATAGTTTTTAAATGTATCAATATATTAAACTCTTAAGCTGCTTCTCTTAATTCTGTTAGGAGTAAGCAGAAAGCCTGTGGTTAGTCCAGGAGAGAACAATGATTTCAAATAAATGAATAGTGCGTTATCTGATACAGGAATTTCGATAAATAACTTATATTGGTTAAACAATGTTTAGAATAAAAGAAAAACAACTCCCTCTCCACAGTCAGAGCTTTCAGGTGTCTGTTATCAGCCAGCACCTGTGGTAGGTATTCATGGCAACTTACATTGCATAGAGTAGTTCATACATGCAGTTTTAAGACTACATATGTGTGCACTGTATGTGTATATATTCTGTATACACACTAGTATATTCTCATATATTATTGAGGCAATTTTAGTGAACTGCCATGAAAATAGAAACAAAGAATAGTTGTCATTAGATGCAGATCAATGGTACTGTCAGGAAGGGGCTCTTACCTCAACAAATGCCCTGAGGTGTGATTTGTCAGCAAATTGCAGCAGTTAATATCATAGTGCTTGTGATTTGTATTATTGGCAAACACAAGTTACTAGCATTTGTGTAGGTGAGAAGCTAGCTACTTCTGTGATTCAGGAAGAAAAAAAAAGAGACTTCTGGCATGTTCCCTGAACAGTGAAAGATGGATACATGTGACACTTCCTCCTGTTCTGGAACTGTGACCAGAGGAGGTGGGGATCCAGAAGAGAGGGTGTAGGTTTTTTCCTCTTTTCCTTTCAGTTATATATATTTTTTAATATGTTCCCTGTCACCTATTTCTTTTAACATTAGTAACTCCTATACCAAAGATTTTATATTCTTCCATTCCATCTAACTGCATTTTTGGAGGGTGGCCATCTCCAGGTGCAGCGCTATGGAAGACTTCATGGTGGAAGGCTGTCCTTGCCCCCTCAGGCTGATCCTTTCTTTCATCTTGGCACAAGAAGGCTGCTGTGTCCTCATCCTTGAGTGGGAAGGCTCGCCGCTCCCACCGCATAGACTGAAGGGGAAACATTGTCAGTTAAGTTTCACCTCATTTATTTCTTAAGGAATCTATAATGTCACTTTTAATAATTACTCTTCTACTATATAAATACACATTTTTGTTTTCCTCTCATGTCCAAATGGATATACTGAGAATTTCCTGACTTTAGGAATTATTTCTTCTTTTTGCCTCTGCTAGGAAGAGGAAATATTGCCACAGAACACTTGTGTCTCTGTTCACTGTAAGGACACCTGAGCAAAGCCCCTGGAATAGACTTCATTTCTACCTCATCGTTATTACAGATATACATTGACTTTTTCTTCCTGCTTTTCTACAACTTGGATATTAATTTCTATAGTTCCCCTCCAATTTTGATCTTATTATTTTTCAATACTTGGAAATGGGGAAAGATGCATGAACTTTGTGTAGTGCTAGGATATGCTATCCTAAAGTACGACTGGATTTGTGTGAAGACAAACGCGTTAGAAGCAGAAAAACAGAAGTGGTGCTTGCTGTGCACCTAGTGTGAGTTTACAGTGGAAAGATTTGTTCTTTAAAGCAAGTTTGATAGAATCCTCATTCCCTAGTAAGTACATAGATAGATGAAACTTGTTAATGATATGCTGTGCCTCCAAAAAATAAATAAAAAGAAATCGTTAATATAAAGGAACTAGGGTGCTCCACTATAGACCTTCCTGGACTTACTCGACTGAACATCTCACTGACTTTGGTCTGTAATGACACACTTACAATTAACATTTCTACATAAACATGAAATAAAGTGAAACGGTAATTAAAAGAAAATGCAGTCATAGAACTCAGGCTTACCTTGGTTTCTTGACCATCATTTAAAGAAAGGGAGTCCTGAGCACACAGACTGTGGCTTTCTGCTGGGAGCTCACACAGACTTTCTGCAGTACCTTGCTGAGGAGCACTGCCAACTTCACTTGAGTGTTCCTTTAGAACCAAGTCCTGCCCTTCCGAATTTTTACTGTAAGCTCTAGCAGGGAAATAAATGAATGCAGAATATCAGTAGGTCAGTACTGCTTTTTTCTCAGCATTTCCCCATGGTCATCTGATGATCTTCCTAGTGTTGTCTTTAGGAAAGGTTTTATCCAAGGTTTAAACACAGCGAGCGCTTCATTGTCACTAAGCACTCTTTCACATTTGTTCTTTCATTTTTAAAAGACAGAAAAGGCCATGCGCTCAACCTTTACAGTTCTGAATTCTCAAGTTATTCTGTAATTATTTTTATATCATACATGAAATCCACAAGTCACATTTCTATATTTCTGGACAGTTTTGTTTCTAGGATGTGTAAAAGAACAGCAATTCTAGAGTCTCACTTTTTCAGCATTTACAGTACATCTGAGCATCTAAGCAGAGAAAGGACTTTAATGTTATTTAGCTACTTGAAAGATTAAGTTAAGAGACTACTACATTGTACATGAACTTACTTTTTTAGTTGTGGATATATTAAAAATATATTAATATATTTTTAAAATATTTATATATTTTAATATATTAAAAATAATGAAATATAACTGTAAAAACACTAGAGGTATTCTCAAATAGCTAATTACTAGCTGTCATATTCTCCCTGAAAGTCTACCTATGGGCTTGTTTCTGTTTTTTTAAGACAGAATTTGGCTCTACAGCAAATGTTCTGACTCATTATCCTCCTGCCTCAGACTCCTGAGTGTGGAACTCTGGGCATATGCTTATAGCCAACATTTATATTTTTAAAAAGTCCCCATGGACTATTTGCCCTTTATACTAAAATAAAATTTCTCAAGAACTTTGCATATTATATAGTATTATATATATTATATTGCATATAGTATTATTTTTGAAATGTTTGCTAAAATGAATTATGTAAGCTCCCACTCTAGTGCTGCTCACCATCTAAAGGACATGGAGGTAACTGGCTTTGAGGCTTTGGAGAAGAGGTCCCCACTGTGTAATCTATCCTGGCCTTAGACTGGAAAGCCCCTGCCTCAGCCTCCTAATTACTGGCAAGTACCATCATTCCTGTAAAAAATGACATACTTTATATAGAGAGAATGTTCCTGTCCTTGCTAGGTAAGTAATATAAACAATAATAACAAATGTGGCCAGCAGCATGAAACTGATATAATTTCCCAGATATTTTTCGACTGTAAGTTTGCATATGCAGATGCCACTTCATACAACAGCTGATACTGTATATTCTGTTTTCCTTCTTACTGGTCTTTTTCAAGCTTTATGGCTAGCTTCTGTTCATTCCTCATATATTAAGGCTTTGATGTTTTAAACTTAAAATACTTGCCTGTTATTTCTTCTATGCCATTTGCTTTGCTCCCAGAGTGACCACCTAGCTTGCTCTCTCTCTTCATATTTTCTGTGTCGTAGGGAGAAGACTTCATCAGAAAGATCTTCTATCTGGTAAGATTTGGAAACAGAGCAGATTCAGATAGTCTGTCTCTGTGAGCAGGAAGCTGTTTAAGCAGCCTGTTCTTGGCCTGTGTTTTAATATATACCTAGATTACAGATGGGTTCACAGTGCTCTCCATTTGCCACACCTTATGGAATTGTTTTGTTTTGTTTGAGCTTTTCTTGTTTGGGGACAGAATCTTGCTGTGTAGCTCAAGCTAGTTTTGAATATGCACTCTTCTTACCTTAACCTCTGGAGTGTACAGATTGCAGGTTTGTGCTATCTTGCCCAATCTATAAAAAAGTAGTGCTACACTTTATTTATTCCATTAAGTAATTATGGATTATCTTTTATGAAGTACACAACGTTCTGAGACATGTTAATGTCAAAAAAAGTGAAACTGATTTGAGGTAAATCAGTATTTAATTACTGACTTATCTGAGGTTTTTAACTGGGTAACTCTGGGGAATTTCTCCTGGCAATGATGATTCTGACTTAGCAATAGTGCAACAAAAAGCAAAGCACATTAATAGTAAGATACTATACTATAGCTGAAAAACAAGACCATTGGGCATAGAAGCATTGTTAATTGATAGAAACTATATGTGCTTTCTATATAATTCTAATTTTCATCTAAAGATGGAATCAGCTGTCATATAGTATTTCCCCTCTAACTGTTCCTTTCTTTCATTAGTTCTTTGAGAGTTTAGTGTTTCATACAATATGTTTTGATTCCTGCCATTGTTCTTAATGTAATGTATTCTATACAAGTTCAGAATCCTTTACCAATAATTTCAGTAAAAGGCAGCTCCTCATACAATTCACAGCCTGATCTGAAATGCTGTGACAATATTTATTCTTAGTGTTTTGTCCTGTCACACACACACACACACATATATATACACACACACACATATATACACACACGCACGCACACACACTCACATACATATATACATATATATATATTACATATATATGTAATAATATAATATTTATTATTCTGAAGTAATATATATATATATTACTACAGAAGCATTAATATTAAATTAGTGAGTCCTTGGCCCTTGGTATTAGCACTATATATGTACCGCATTGCCCATTGGTTTGGGAGATACGCTAAGTTATACATTACTTCTTGTAGTCAAATTTACAAAGAAACTTTTTCAAAATTACTATCCTTTCTGAAAAAATTGTTCTCAAAAAATTCATGTTTTATATTTTCTTTTAGATTTTTAAATGTTAAATGATTAAAGCTTTATAATATAGAAGGTACAATTATCCCATTAAACATAAGGCAGCTTACCTCTTCTTTGTTTAAGTTATGTTCATCAAGGGGCTGAAGAACAACCATCCTCCAGCTGTTGAAAATACAAAAGAATTTCAGACAGCTTTCATCCAAATATAGCAATTTTAT